CTGGACAGATGTAAGTCTTGCTTGCTTCATAGTCATAAAGCAAAACATGAAATTGTGGCTTGTTACTACTGTTGTCACTGTTGTCAGGGTGTTTTTAGACTCGTATTTTTTGTTAATGTGCACAAACTTAAAAATATCATGACTAGCTTATTCATATTAAGGAATATAAATAAGATGCAACTTACATCAGGCCAATTAGCTGCTACAGCTTGAACTCTACACTCTCTTAAGCTTCTTGTTATGTCGATATTTGACGACATAAGTAAGAAGGAAGTTACTGTCGCTTAGCTACTGTCGCTTAGTTTGAGTTAAATTCATAAAACTGAAGTACTCCACTTCTAACTTTCATATGCTTTGATCCTATCCGTGTAGTTGTAGAAAAGAAGTGGAAAATTCTTTTTGAAGGAGCAGTGAAAAATCATTAAAGATAAATTCTTGCTAGAAAATTTCGATGAATATTATTTATTAATATGAATAATATTATTCCACATGTCTATATCTTTTTCACGTTTATTCACATATCTATATCTTTTGCTTTATGTTTCTATCAAGAACTTCGAAAAGTCAAAGTCCATCAAACTTACGGGAGTTGGCACGACTGATTCCGGAATCCAGCCTTTCTTTATTCCACTCTCGCGTGGCTGTGGATGCACTAAAAAGCAAGGCAGGAATCAGCTCTACTACAGCTTGTTATCCGTAATTATCAACGAATGAAGAACAAAACTTTCCTACAACGAGCGACTTTTACATCTGCTATACATAATCTTACTGAAGAGCAGAATTGAGTAAAATACGGCAATCTAATACAATCAGAAGTGAATAAACGACAAACTTTTAGGCCAGTCATTGCTATCTTCATCGCTACGTTCGTCTGAAGCGTCAGAACCGTGGTTCTCTACCCCTTCTTTCTCAAAAGCGTGTTGTTTCGCTTCCTTGGTTTGGAAACGAGTAAGTTTAACCTCATCCACGAGACCATCCGGACCACCATGACGTAGAACTGTATAAGTTGATTTCCCGATAAAGCCCGAACCAGATGCGCCCGACTGTGATCTCTTTGATTTTGATTTCTTATTCTTCTTCCTGCAATGATTATTTGACAAATTAGCGAACTGAAGGATCTTTATTATAATGTTGATGGTGACAGCTATATTATTTAATGGTGATTGGAAATGTATCATGAGAAAAATCATCAGTAATTTCTCGTTGTTTAGTATTTTACTTTTTGTATTTTTTCAATGCAGCCATTAGTCCTACAAGAATAATGTTTTCCTCCTTGAAACTTGTTCTAAATCTTCCGGAGTGCTGTATATCTAAAGTAGTAGTCAGGTAGCAAGGGACCACAAATCAAAACCTTTTTATTTCTTAGTCCTAAAACAAATTAAAAAATAGCTCGACAAAAGGACTCACTTGTTTTGAAAACTATAGTCGGATACCAGCGCATCATACTCCTGAAATTGATACAAAATCAAATACATCCTAAAAAATTGCAATGAATAAATAGCATATTTTTTATGCCAACTATCTTTATGCATAAACAAAATGTCAAGCTTATTTGAGTTTAAATTTAAATGTCGAAAAGAGTAATCTGAAGTAGAGGCTTGTATCATCATATTATCTCGCTAAAGTGGAATAAAATTTAAGCCACAGAATAGTGTAATAAAAAAGTATTTTTGGAGCCGAAATTAATCACAACAACTACTAATTTACTGTCGTTAATATTACTATAACATTGTTAAAAGATCAAGCAGTTATCATAGAATATAAATACTAAAGCATGAGATACTTTAAAAACCCCTAGATTATAGGACTGAAAGAGGATAGATTTACTGCCATTTCGTGTTGGAAGGATCTATATTATTTATAACAGCACAAGTGCTGCAATCAGTAACTTATTATGGGAAGACAAAGGGCTAAAGGATTAATGAGTCGCAATCTTTTTAGCAGAGTGGTCCTATTATTCAGTTCGCCATATTTCTCAAGAAATGACTGAAAGATTTTAAGGATGTTTAAGCGTACTTAAAATTACGAAAGAAATCTACCAAATCAGCTTTCAGTTTCGAAACATTGTTCATGCTGCTGTATCCCTTCCATTTCAGCAGATATTCCTTCATTTTTCTTCTCTTATTGTAACGCTCTTCAAGTATCTCGTCCCTGTTGAATTGATCATCATCAAAACTGCTATCATAATTATCACCATACATCTTTTTTTTGTTCCTAAAAATGCTATATCTTTTCAACAATCCGCTGGAAATGTTATTATTTATGGTATAGGTGAATTTAAATATTTGAAATAAAAAGCAATAACTGGTTAAAGATCAAAAATTGTGATTCATTACCGGAGATTGAAAGTAACCGTCGATTATTTACGATTGAAAATAGTACTTGATTTCCTGAGGTTGTAAGTACTTGAAGTCGGAACTACCTAATACTGGAAGTAGTGGTTGATTACATCAGATAGGAATAATATCAGGGATCATTAGTAATGAAGTCATTTTTTATGGCCTGATGACGATAATAATAATGATGACGACGATGATGATGATGACGGCAATAGTGATGATGACGATGATGATGTCCTTCTATGTCGTACAGGAATGGTGATAAAAATACGAATTGAACAATATTTGCAAAATATCCTAGTACGATGAGAAGGCATTGCTGATAGCTAATATCCAATCCGTTCGAATTTTTGACAGCTTTTTAGATACGAAATAGCATTCTAAGCTTAATATCCGGATACAGTTAATACTCAGCCATATCCAGGATTAATGACGTTACCACTAGCAAACTTATTGTAATAATGAATGTTTGAGTAGATCTGATATTTCTGGCACGACGAAGATGAAAGCTTCGAAAAGCTGCTGACAGATCTAAAGCCCCTTACTCTTACAGTATTGTCATCATCTCTTATCAATTATCACCATTGCGCTAAAATAATAGCAATTATATTACCACAAAGCAGCATACTGTGTGACCTTTACAGCAACGAAACGTTATTACTCGCTAATCAATAAACGAAAATGCTGGCCTGTTTAGATTTTAACGTGCAAAACTACACATTATACACATTTGCTATATCATCTTTACGCGAAATGAACAATCCCGCTATCCTCTAAATATAATTCCTACCTTAGCACCCGCTTGACACGACACACCGTTCTCGAACTGAAACCTCAATGATAATGATAAGCTGTGCACTTGTATTTATATGGATTTCAAAAAGTATGAAGGCGTGGCCGTTGCATTTTTCCCCGTTAAATCCCGGATTCCGGAGCGTAAGTAATCCGAATTGGGATAAACTTATATCATTGCAAGTTTGTCTTAATTCGGAATGTTTACATTTAAAAAAAAAAAAAAAAAAACGAAAGAAAAAAGAAACTTAATGAACGAATTTCAAGTGAAAATTCGCATCCTCAAAGTACTATGTTCATTTTTAAATTCAAATTTCATCTTGAAATAACGTTAACAACAATTAACGTTAACATATTAAACTAATCTGCTTGTTAAAGAAATTATCAATTATGATAAGATATCCAATAAATGATAACACATATAGGGTAAAAAAAGCACTGATAAACAATGCATAATGACAAATATCTTATAGTTACAGTTAAAAATTGTACAAAAATACACTTAAATTATAAGAAGCAAAAAAAAAAAAAAATAATAGTATCGGAATTTTGATACAGCTAATGCATAACTAACAAGCGGACTAATAATAATGATTAGATAAAGAGTAGCAAAAGTATGAAAAAGATTGGAAAAGTTACGGAAATAAATGATAAAGAGTGATAAGATGGGGAGAGAACTGGGTAATCATGCATACTTATCGTTACAAATATTTTCAATTATAATTTCCGGATTTTAGGATATATGAATAGAGTATGAGCTGATGGATATACTGATTGTAATAACAAGATATATGTGCAATTGTTTATCAGCATCGTATTGATAATTTCTTCAAAATATATATATGCATTTTACAAGATTGTAGTCATAATTTTTTATGGTTTTAAGAGATTAGAAATGTGTAGATAGGCAAAATTAATGAGAAAGATTATGAATATCTCTTAAAATTCGTTAATTTAAATTTAAAATATTGCGTCAACCTTTTTTGTTTTTTTAAAGAATAGCATAAAAGATAAGGTAGGCACCAAAATTCGATCGCTTTTCAATAATAGAACGAAAAAAAAATTTTACCACTTTTTAATTTTATTCATTTTTATTTTTCTATTCATTTTATTTTTATTTTTATTGAATTTTTATTTATTTCAAGCAAATTTTTGATAAGTATTTTAATTTGATCAATTTTTATTCATCCATTATATACCTAATTTTTAATCATTAATTGTATAGGTATATAATCAAAATGCTCCTTTGATAATCAACCAAATGTTATCATTTGATATTTTATTGGACAAGTTTCCTAAATAAACCAATTCAGTTATTGATTATACTCTAAATAAATCAATTTCTCTTTCATACTCAATTTCATTTCTATTTTT